CAGGGTGTTCTGCAAAATGTGTGTACCGCGGTCTAATTATATTATTATTGTTTGCAGTGTAGTGACAGGTATAAACTAGTTGAATTTACTGCAAGAATCCTCGGTGAAAATGGTAAATTTTATTTCCAACAGGACGGACAACCTGCACATTATCACTTCGATGCTAGAGCATATCCTGAGAAACCTTTCAAACAGATGGGTTGCATTAAAAGCTTGTATATAATACCCTGCCCGTTTCTCAAACCCGACGGCAACGGACTTTTTCTTCTTGGGATAATTTAAAGATAAAGCCTGCGTGACAAAACTGAAAAACCTTGCAAGATAAGGTGGGTCAATAGTCTATTGTTATCGGCAATGCATTGATGATACTAATAATAATTTCGAAGTTCTGAGCTACCAGAAAAAGTTACATATATATATATATATATATATATATATATAAAGGATATTAGGAAATATCTAGGTTGAGATCATAATGATGCCTTGAAGACCATTGCAATTGAACAAACCCATCTACAAACCGCTTTAGGGAAAGCTAAAAATCGACAGAGTACGGTATGGCAGCCAGGCATGACACAAACCCTTTGACAAGTTCACACTCCACAGAGTGAAAAATTCACTATTCTAACAGGTTGCAAGACATCCGTTTCTCTGCGCGCCTACTGAACTGCATCAATCTAACCTCCTGGGGCTTTACGAAAGTCTGTTCATTAATAGACAGCGGAGAAGCTCCCGGCATTTGAAAACCGGCATTGAAAAACCTAAAAACTTATCGCTGTTACAATGGGACATATATGAACATAGCTGTAGAATCAACAAAAAGAAAGAGTTCGTTTAGTTGAACGTCGCAGCAGCTCGACCCTAGTTAGCTCGGTTCTACTCATGAACCTAACTCCTATCCCGATATCGAACGAAATCTCCAGAGACTCAACTACGCAATAAATGACACTTGGCAATGCAATTGAACGGATCTGCTAACTGACATTGTCTGGAAGTTTTATCTGAAATATAGTAACTTGAGCCACTATCGCCGGCCAAAATGACGGCGCGTTCTTCTCCTCAATACAACCTAAACTCAATCTTCCAAAAGCCATACACAGTAAGACAACTAACGTAATGTAAATAACATTTTCAATAAGGAACAGTATCAATAGGCATAGTTTTTCGAAATAAACGAGTACTAAAATGGTGAAGAGTATGGTCACATTAATGAACGACGGGAACAGTAACTCGCGGCAAAGAAATTCTGCCTTTATAAGATTTGACAGGGCTTGGTCCGATAGGACTGTAAAAGACAGGCCACATTCCAGATCCGGATGAATATACAAGGCGAAGGTTCGAATCCTGCCAGCGTCAGTATTACATGGTCCCTGACGAGTAGACTTCTCTCACTGGAAAACTTTACCGTCTTCCTAAATAGCTGGATCTCTAGCGGACCTTCTAGAATTTTTCAGAACGGCACTCAGGCATTCGACTTCGCAGAATGTAAGAGTCCCAAAAATAAATCCAGCACCATTCCTTGAACGCCTGCAGTTATTGATTAATTTTCCTGCCTTTGAGGGGACCCTTTGATATCATAGGAGTTCGTCGGTTAGATTATTTAGGGTGATCATAGCTGTGCGGGTCTGGAGCTGGCGTACTAAAGATGAGAACTTTAAAAGCAATAAAAATGTCAGAACGCTTTGCGCGAAACCTTGAGCCAGCGAGGGATTATTGGTCATCCTGCGCACGTATACAAAACCTGCTTTGAGTGAACCTGCTAACTAACAATACAGTATTGTCTGGAAGTTTCATCTGATATACGCTAAATAAATATCCAGGGACCTTAGTTAAACTACCTTGATATACATCTAAGGTGGACGAATACCTGCGGTCAAACAGGTCCCAGCGTTTCTTAAAACCGACAAACCGCGGCTCCAAAATTTCGAAAAACAACTCACCAGAGAAAGGCAGCGCCTCAACTAGTCAAATCGCCTTTAGCAGTCTTCCCACCATCAACACTCTGCTTTGTAAAATACACCCTAACGAGAAAGTCCCTCAGTGGTTGTTTATGAGTTTTATCATCAAGTACGGGCGAAAGGCAAACAGAAGGCTCGTTACCCTCTGTATCAAGCGGTTAATGCTAGGAGAAGAGCTCCAAAAATTTGAAATCAGAATAAAAAATGATATAAATGAG